GTAGATGCATGTCTCACGCTCGCTCACACTCTCACAAACAAATGATCTGGAAAGACGCCTTGCTACCAACGAGGCTGTCGTCGGAAACTGGCCCGGCGGCACTCATTGGGGCCCCGCAGCCACCATACTACTCTTCCGCGGGGAGTGCGTTGGCGGAAGGACAAAACACAAAGGCTCCGCTCGCCACCATCCAAGGCTATGCGGCTGGAAACAAGAATAGAGCCATCGCCGGAAAAGCGGTAGAGCCAGAGGAGACCATCACTCATTTATTTGGCCACATGGGGTGGCACTTTTTTCTTTCACACATTTTTTTTATCGTTGGCAGAGTTCAAAAGCGAACCAGACTTGCAGAACCTCATCCTTGGCATGCAATCATCACCGAGGAAAAGAGGACACAGCAAAGAAAAGCAAAAAAAAAAACCGGCATGACGGACTGCTCGCTTCTACTCCAACCCTGCCCACCCAGAACCTCACACTGCCCTTTGCATCCTCCACCCCCTCTTTGTAGTCCAGCGGGGGAGGCGGGGGGTTTAGTCAACATCCGAGAGCCTCCTCTGGTGGCGGGGAGTCGAGCAGCTCTGGCCGTTGCTGCCCGCCGGCGCGTCGTGCCCCCTATGCTGCATGCTACCGGGTCCACAGTCATCCCTGCGGCTTTCTTGGAGAGGAACACATTTTCTCCTCTCCTGCCCATTCTCACCATTTTCACGCCCAAGCCCGTGTTCGCCGCCGGAAACTGCCTCACTCTCTTGATGTTCCTCGTTTTCCCTCGATCCTTCACCCTGGGGAGGGTTGCTCCCGCCGGCGCCCACCGAAATCCGCAACCCACACATGGCGCACAGAAGGAACAGCACCGCAAGGAAGGCGAGCCAAGGAGCACAAAAGCCGGAACGAGGGCCAAAGCCAGCGACATCACCTTCCCCGTATTCCCATGACGAACACTGTCCAAGTCGTTTAGCCGCTTGGACACCAAGGAAATGGAGGCCAAGGCAAGAATAAGAACAGTACTCAAAGCGGTGAAATTGACCAAGTTATAGCAACACGATCGCGAAACCCCTCGCACCCGTTGGATGGAAATTTGGTACGCCACCGCTTCCAGTAGCAGCAGGGCCCCAAAGACGTAGAATGGCAAGGCCAAAACTACAAAGTAGTTTGCCGTGATGACCTCATCTGCGCGGAGAGCAATGAGAGCACTGAATGCCGCTAAAGATAATCCACGAAGAAGTGCCAAGAAGAAGGAAAGCTTCATGTATCCCCACAGCCCCTCATTTCCGTTGGATTTTAAGCTTTTGTAGCGCCTTCGCGTCGGAAGCCTTGTAATGAAGCACAAGAGCGTGTACAATGCCACCGCAATGTATAGTGGAGCAAGCCAGCGACGCCACAAATAAAAGTCATTGCCACCACGCAAAGCTGTCTTGTCGTTTGCGTCTTTGGCCACAGGCACAAGGATACTAATGAGAATAAGGGACAATACGAGCAGCGTCCAAAAGAATGCATCTATCCGGAAACTGACAATAGCCACAATGAGGCCAATTAACGCCGGGACCCCGACAATTATGTCAACGACAAATAGCGGTGAAAAGACTTTCACATAATTCCAGTAGCTTCGGCTGTGATCGTTCACCGTAGCAACGCCGCGCGCCGCCAGTCGACCATCAACGTATGAGACAATAAAGGCGGTAAAGACAACCACCATCGATGCCAATATAAATACCAAAACTGCCATAACGCAGAAGATTACAAAGCCCCCGATCTGAACCATCAGCGCATCCGAAAAAGGGTTGTCCAGGGCGGCAGCACCAAACTTGTCGTATATTTCCCTCTTTTTGGGGTTCGAGAGCACCTCGTACGCCGACTGTATTTCCTTGAACCTCTCCGCCCCCTCGGCTCCTGCCCTGTCGGGATGAAACTCCAACGCGAGCTGGTGGTAGTTCCTTCTGATTTGCTCACCCGTCGCATCGCGTGAGAGTCCAAGACAGTGATAGTAATCCGTCATTGCCCCGCCCTTCCCAAACCCCCCACTACTCCTACCCTGGACACTCGAGCCCCCGCAAGGAAGGGAAGCGCAACGGCAGCAGTAAAAAAACAAACAAACAAACATACAAACGAGGGCACCCGTTCTGGAAGAAACGGCCATCGCGGCACGAAGCAGAACCAAACGGTCGGAACAACAGCAACAAGGGGGGATTAAAACGCCCACTAGAGAATAAAATAAGTTGCGGCAAAGACGTGCAAGGTGCGAACGGCTGAAGGGCCGCCCGGGCACCAAGACCCAACTATCCGGAACTTCCGCGTGAAGCAAAATGAGGCCAGTGCCCCCCCCCCCACCACCACCAGAGGATAGGCGCGCCCATACGCAGAGAATGTTGCTCACTACAGGAGGGATAACGCCATGCAGATAAGCATAAGCCCAAGACCCAAATGCGAAAGCAATAGCAATAACAACACGAAAAAAACAAAATTGACAGAAGCGCCAAGGAAATAGGAAAGCGGGAGAAAACGGGGGAACACCCATATAAAAAAGATGTGTAGGGCAACAGCGCCCATCAACGGACTGCATCTTGCCTGCGGCGACAGCGCAGCTCTCTGTGGGGGCTTCAGCCCCCCCACAAGTAGCCGCGGCGAGTCGATGCCTGTGACCGGCCACTGAAGAAAGCAAAAAAAAAAAAACTTCGCGGGACACCAAAGAAACAACCCCGAGAGCAACACTACAAGAAAAAAAAAAGCGTTGCCGACGTGGGGATCGCACACTTCCTTAGCACCCAGATACGGTTCAGGGGGAGAGCAGTTAAACTTTGCCTTTCTCTCTGGCCCCCTTGCCTGCTTCAAGTGGGCACGTTGTGTGAGAAGTAGCGAGCTTGGGAGGTAATGCAACAACAGAAAAAAAAAAAAAGTTGCAAAAACGGAGGAGGAAAAAAGAAAAGCGGGCCACACATGTCCAGCAATAAGAACATAAGAAAAAAACATGGCGAGAATAGACATATATATATATATATATATAAGATAGCAACAGGCTCAGCAAGTTAACTACTGCCTCCCTTTGGGTGGCGCATTCGATGGGAAAAGAGTTGATTTGGGCAACTGTAAAGACGGCGGAGCCGGCGCCTCTGTGAGCGTTGCAAGCGGCTTTGCTGCCTTGAGGGACGAGTTTGCGGACAACGCCAAGTTGGGAACAGAAGAGTTGCCGCTCGCCACAGCCGCAGCGTCAGGTGCAGCTGACGCCAACTGCGCCTCCAACTTTCGCAGCTGCAGTCTCATTATTTCATTCTGCACGGACGCAAGCGCATCCTTGTCGAGCGGAGGGGGCAACTGACGCTTATTGTTGGTGTTACTCACATGTAAGTTAGCTTGCTGATCGCTTGTAGCCGTGCTACCAAGTAAGAAGTTCTCATCCGCGGCAGTCTGCTGGGTGCTTGGGACAAAGACGGTAGACGGTGGGAGCGCCCTTTCGCCGCGCTTCCGTGAACGCAAATCCGGTGGGAGCTTCAGGAATGGACGAGAAGCTCCGATTGTTTTGGTGCCACTGACACATCCGCCTTTGGCGCCTTTGGGCACACCGCCACGCACAAAGTCTAGAGAACACTTTTTCCGAAAGGAGCTGCAGTCTGGATATGGATAGTCCGGCACGTCTGAGAAGCTCACACTCATTCCTCTCATCAGTGGGTTAAAGACACTCCGTTTTGCCACTATTCCCTCAGGGTGTGGGGCGTTGCCAGATTGCTTCAAGAGAATGCCCCCAGGGTGCAACGTGGTTATGCTGTTGCTGCATATCGATGGAAGTGGCAGAGTATCAGGGGAGTTGCTGACAAGGAGATTCTTTCTCCCAAACAAGACAAGTTTCTCGTCCTGGCTCCGAGGAGGAACAAAATTCCCAACTACGGTGCAGCGACCCTTCGGTGGAAGCGCCGTAATGCTGGCGTGATAGTTACGGCCGCCAGTATTTCCACCATGACAACTGCCGCCACTGTGGTGGTGGTTTTGTTTGTCAAGGAGTGCTGCCGCTCGCTGCGAGTGGAACGAGCCCAGCGGAGAAGCTTGGGGGGGCGGTTTGACCACAAACTCCCCAGCTTCCATTCTTCGCAGACCCCTCACCATGGCGTTCACCCTGGAGAGGACATTCTCGCCCCACTCCGATACCCGCAAATCCACAACGGGGCGGATTTGACACCCCAAGGCGCCCAGCTGCATCTCAACCATTGTGTTGCCGATTGCGGCATGGCGCTGGTGTTGCGAATGACGCTCCTCCCTCAGCTCCTGAAGTTGCCGCTGAAGCGACTCCACAGTCAGTTGAAGCGTAGCACGCTCCTGTGTCTCACGGGCCAACTGCTCCTCCAGATATTCCAATCTCTTTGCCAGCGCCCATAGAATGCCCGTGCGGGGCCCAGCGTGTGTCTCTGCACCGCCGTTCTCCTTCTTACCGTCAAGGCAGGTATGCTGTTTGTCCACAAGCAACTCGCCGCTCGCCTCGGGTGACGCGCCTAACTGAGACTCCTGGTTCCAGTGACACGGGGCGCAACAGATGCTCTCCAGGTGTTTGTCACGCCGCGCCTCACGCTCCTCGAGGCCAATAATACGTGAAAGCATATTGGCAAGGCGCCCTCGTTTTGTGTTATCGCTTGCGCGTCGCAAGGAGCCTGTGCTCCCGCTTTCGTCCATGTTTTGTAACTCCTCCTTTCCCTCCTGGCGCCCCACTGAGCGTTTAATTTATTTCCCCACGACTACTATGCCCAGTTTGGCGTGCAGCAACAGCGTCCAGCACCACCGCCGCCCTGACGGTGGACACAATGCCCTTGCAACCGTGCGAATGCGTATGTATACTTTTCCAGGCAGAAGGACGGGTGTCAGCGCGCTCCTTGTAAAGTTCTTTCCCCCCCCCCCGCCCTCCTCTCTACACACTCACGGACACCTTCTTCTGCCGGCTACACAATTATACAGGAGAAGTGGGGGAAAAGGGGTAGAGAAGGAGGGGTCTTGAACCCACCCATCCACCTCCGCCAATGCAGATGTCACGCGATGCAGCGGGAAAAGCCGCCACAATCGCTGCGTCTTACGCCAATAAAAAAAAAGAACAGGGGGAAAGTACGCGCGTACCGAACGAGCAAAGAAGAACTGAAAAAGCAGGGCCACCGTCTTGACCAAGGTTTTTTTGTTTAGTTATAATAATAATAATTATTATCATTTTTTTTGTTTTGCCTCCTTCCCGCTCCGCCCCACGGCAGCGTCGCTTCCTCCATAGGTAGGCACACACACTCACACGAAGCAAAGAAAGAAAAGCACTAGAAGCAGAAGAACATCCATATAATAATAATAATAATAATAGTATACACACCGCATGTCTTCTTCTTCTCGAATTCATTCGGGTTGCGGCTGCTTTTTTTGGGCAGGCAGAAGATGTTGAGAAGCATTCGCAGCCGCAACGAGGTCACTACTTTCTCGGCAGCAAAGACACCCCATGCCACCTGCCAGTTCGCACTGCATCTGCTCAAAGCATCGCCTGTGGTAGCAGGCCCCGCACTGGGGACAGCTGCGCACGTGAAGCAAGTCAAACGAGTGCACCATATATAGGCACGGCTCGGCATGCGCACCCGCACATGAAGCTTGGCCCAGCGGGGGTGGGGAAGTTGCAGCGAAGAATGTAGGAGAGCCTTCAACGCCTCGCTGGGGAAGCACTACACCCTGCTTTCGATACCGCCCAAACGCTTCCAGCGCCCCGGAAGGGCAACACCAGCGGCAAATGTCAAGGCTATTGCGCAGGCATGTGTCACAGCGCCGCTGAAAGATATGGTTCGTCATCTGCAGCCGCAGCCGCCGAAGATACATAAAAAGCCTGCAACCCGTCTCGGGACGGGCATGACCGCACGCTCTCAGCTGCGGCGGGACGTCGCACGACGCGACATCGCAGTTAGCGCCACCCGGGCAACAGCGATGCACCTCCAAGAGGTCGTCCAAGGACCAAACCTCACTGTCCTCCATCAGGTAGCGCTTCTCTCGCGGGACAAAACACTCCACCTCGAATTCATCCTCCATATAGTCTGACACCAATGAGAAAGAAGTCCATGAGCAGCTGCCCGTCGTGGGCCTGTTCGTTCCATCCTTGAGGTAGAACAGCCTGCGAAAGACGGAACATTGCACACCCACCTCACGCAGTGCCACGAGCTGCATCCGTATGCACCGCAACTCTTCTAGCAAGGCAACACGGTCGTACAACCTCGGGTTCACCGCCGACACACAGTACAAGGGTCGCTTCAGCTGAAGCTCCAGGAAACCAATGGCATCGTTACACACAGGAAAGCATTTAACGTCCCAGAAGTGCAGAACACGTGCCGGTATAACACTTTTGCGCCCGGAGTGGCACTTCTTGCAGTAATACATGCCCGTGTAGTAGCAGAAATTCGCTGCTTTCCATGAGGGAACAGGAAAGTACGATTTCTTTAGCGGGCAAAGACAACTCTTACAGTAACGGCCTTGCGCCAAAAGCGCCTCATTCTTTGCGCTCATTCCTCGTGGTTTCTCGTGCACGATCGTCGAGAGACACAAAATGTGCGGCACAGGAGAGGCCTCAGTGCCGTGTGGCTGAGGCACATTGGCTAAGCAAGAAAGTTCCGACGGGAACCAGGTGCGAAAACGACGCCACTCCGACTGCTCTTCTCGTGAATCGGGCTCTTGAGCAGACTCTAACCTGTCGGATGCTGCCCGGACGACAACCCGCACATCGTCGCACGCAGAGGCAACCGCCACCACCGTGTTCTCTTCCGCGTGGTGAGCGTGCTCCTCAAAAGCCCGCACACCGCTGCTAGGCATGCGCGTTTGCGGACCGCCAACGTGCAGCGCCGCCTCATCGCGGCGACCCTCATCCCCATTCGCCGCTGGAGAAGCGGGCGTCACCGGGGCGAAACGGCTGTTGTCGGACCCTGCGGCCTCTCTTGCGCCGACGTCGCTTCCCGCGGAGCCCGAAGCACCGTTGAAGGTCTCTCCGTCTGCCGCCGCTGGGGCAGGCGCCAGCTGCCACGCCTCCGACGCACGCTGCCGCAACGCATCGCTTACGCGCTGCTGCCGCAAGACGAAGCGCGTCAGCCACTCAAGGTAGCGCAGCCGCCGCCACCGCTCCTCGCCGGCTTGCCGCGGCCTCCCCCGCGCGCCACGGCCTCCCGCGCGGGAAACCGCAGCCGCCGTCGCCGGTCCCGCTCGACGCGCCTCCTCCAGACACGACCGCGCACGCCCCAAGAGCGCAGCGACGTCGTCGCCATCTTCCGCCTCCCCCGCGTCTGCACCCACCGCCCCCAAACCGCCCTCCACCCACGACGCACTGGCCGCGGCGTTAGGCAACTCCCGGGGAGGGCAAGTCTCCACCTCCGCCCCCGCCATACGCCAAAACACCGGTATGACACTCGAAGTCGCCACGCGCCACAAAAAAAAATAAAATAAAAATAAATAAAAATAATGAAAGACCCCAAAAACAAAACAAAAATGACGAAGAGGCACAGTCACCAAAAAGCCAAGCAGGCAGAAACCAAAAACAACAAGCCGGTCTACAGGTGCCAAGAAACATCCACTCAGCTTAAAACCACATCTACGAGCGGCACACTGGCGCACAAGTGAAAACGAGCAAGCGAAAACAATACTACTACGATATAACTGTTAAAAACGCACAACACCCCATAGGATGCCCACATCACACACAAACAAGAATTACGAAAGCGCCCCCATTGCCTTTTCGATCCGACGAAAAGCCTCAAGGCTCCGTTGACAGAGGTCCTTCCCCGCCAAGGTGACTTCTGACTGTTCTGCTTCAGAAGAACCCGTGCAAGAATGACGCTGTTTATCGCTAAAAACACGCTCAAGCACGCGCGACATATGAAGCGTCTTCTCCAAAGGTGTTTCACGGCTGGGGCACTCACGCCCCTGTATATCCACAAATTCGGCAGCACCAACCTCCTCAAGAACATGCTGATAAAAGAAATCCCGATACGCCTCCGTGGCACGAAGAAGCTCCAACTGAGTTGCGTCAAACATTGACAGCAACGGCTCATTTCTCTCGACCTCCCGCACACGAGACGACGAAACGCAATGCTCCGGTGCAACAACATCAGGCGAGGGAGACACTTCAGACTTCACCTCACATAAACCGCCGGCAGGACGCAACCTACGCTCAAGTTCACTCAGCTCCTCATGCCTCGCACGAAGCTTATACGCCACAGCAAGAAGCTTCTTCTCTTTCAATCGAACAAAAGCCATTCGCTCCGCCAACTTCTTTTCACGCGCATCATAAAAACACCATCTGCCTAAATGATCTTCCAACAACCCCGAACAATCAGCACTAGAAGAACGCGCGGCTAACACCTCTAGCGGACTACGCTCCAAGCACTCAACAGAAGCCCCCAATGCATTCGGCTTCAAGCCATATTGGGCCCCACGAGCCTCCCGCACCTCGTCCTGCAGGCCGTTGCGCTCGCGTGCCAATTCGTCCAGCCGCGCACGCAGCCCGTCGGCGTCCGCATGCAGCTCGTCGCTCAGCCGCTCGCGGTCCACGCTACACTGCCGCAACTGCGCCTCGAGCTGCGCCGCAGGCCCCACGAGCCTCCCGCACCTCGTCCTGCAGGCCGTTGCGCTCGCGTGCCAATTCGTCCAGCCGCGCACGCAGCCCGTCGGCGTCCGCATGCAGCTCGTCGCTCAGCCGCTCGC